CAATCCCTTCTCCTCTTGGGATCTTGGGCACACACACACGCGCCCGGCATGAGTTTTAAGCCACCGGGTCCGGGACGCAAACCGCGGTCAACTACATGGGAGTCCAGAGACATAGCCATTATGCTAACTGCTGGTCTCTGGTGATAGTATTCTGAGTGGGGAGGCCAGCAATGTCTTTTTCGATGGAGTGATATTTGAGTGGACACATGAAGGAAGTGAGAAAACAATTTAAGTGAATTGCCTGGGGACGAATTCTCAGGGCAGAAGGAATGGTGAGTGCAAATGTTCTAATGCAAGGGTGTTCTTGGTGAGTCCAAGGAACTAAGGTGCCCAGTATGGCTACATAGGATGAGCAAGACGGAGAAGAGTAGAAAATGGGGTGTAATAAGCAGCAACATGCCTGGTCACCTAGGCCTTTCAACCATAGTAAGGACTTTGGCTCTTACTCTGAGGAAGAAAGCCATTAGAGCGTTTTGGTAGAAGACAGTTATGGTCTGACATTATTTAAAAAGTATGCTTGTCTGGAGAATGGATTACATGGGCACAAGAATGAAAGCAGAGAGCCTAGTTTAGAGGTTCACAAATAGTTGCATTTCTTAGATCAGGGTGGTAGAACTGGAGGTGATGCGAAGTGGTTGGACTCTGGACATTACTTTGAACGACAAGCCAAAAACAGATTACTAATGGATTGGATGTGGCATTTCAGAGGTATAAGGGGAAAAGTATGATACGTCTAGAGATCTGTGATGGTAAATTTTATGTGTCAACCTGGAGGATGTTTTTAGATGAGAGTAACATTAAAATCAGTGAACTCTGAGAGAGACAGAATGCCCTCCATAATGTAAGTGGGCCTCATCTAATTCATTGTAGGGCTGAATAAAACAAAAGACCAGCCTCTCTGAACAAGAGAGAACTCTCTAACAGATTTCCCTGAAACTTCATCTCCACCATTCACTCTTAGATCTCTAGCCTGCTTGCCCATGCTGTAGATTTTGTACTTCCTAGTCTTCATAATCATGTGAGCCAATCTTGTATAGATAGATGGGGTCTTTAAAAAGTTTCTGAAAAATATGTACTATGAAAAAACTGACTACATTTCCATATTTTTGCATGTCACACACACACATACACACTAAAAACAAGCAAAAGCAACAATAAAAAACCTTTACTAATTTGTTCTAACACAGACATCGGTTTGAAGAGTCTGTATCAGAACAACATGAGTTCTGCTAAAATTTAAGCAAGAACAGACATCAAATTTATGATGAAGTCTGTGTGGAAGAAAGGTGAAGTCACCGGTGCTGTATGAGAAGGTTATGGGGATCAAGAAATCAGCAGTTTACAAATGGGTAACTCATTTTAAGGAAGGACAAGATGATGTTGAAGACAACGCCTGCAGTGGCAGGCCATCCATGTCAATTAGTGAAGAAAAAAATTCTGTTAATTGAAGAGGACCAATGACTAACAGCAGAAACAAGAGTTGACACTTGTTTCTGCTGTTAATAGATATCTCGAATGGTTCCATATACACAATTCTGATTGTAAAATTAAAACTGAGCAAACTTTCGACTCACTGGGTACCAAAACTGTCATGTCCACCCAGATCAGCTGCAGACAAGGAGCTTTCCATGGAAATTTGGAGCAACTAGATCAATATTCTGAAGCATTTTTCAAAGGACTGTACCAGTAAATGGAATATGACTTTGCTAGTACAATCCTGAAGACAAAGCACAAAGTAGGTCCAGTGGTTAAGGTGTTGGACTCCCACATGACTGACCATGATTTGAGTCCCAGACCTGGTGTCTGGCTTTCTCACGTTCCCTCTCTCTTTCTGTCTGTCTCTGGTCAAATTAGAAAATAATAATAAATTATTAAATTAGATAATTATTTTAAAAATAAAAAATGTATAATCAAAGCAATGGTTTCTGAGGCCAGTGGGTGGCATGGTGGTTAAGGGTGCTGGACTCCCACATGGGTGACCTTGGTTCAAGTACCAGTCCTGGTGGCTTGCTTTCTCACTTTCCTCTCTTTCTCTCTCTGTCTCTCTTTGAACGAATTTAATAATAATAATAATAATGATAATGATAAATACAATTAAACAAAATTATTTTTTAAAAAAGCAATGGTTTCCAGGCAGCTGGTGGCATGGTGGTTAAGACAACTAGATCCCACATGGACAACTGCATGGTTTGAGTCCCATACCCAGTGGTTTGAAAAACATGCTGGGCACATGCATGCGCATGCTCAAAATCCGAAAAGGAGAGAGAAGTTTACTAAAGAGCCTCCACTATGATAATGTTCCTACTCATTCCTCTCATCTAACAAGAGCAATTCTGCAAAAGTGTGGGACATTATTAGGCATCTACCTTATGGTCCTGATTTGGCTTTCTGCCTTATTTCCTACTTTTGAAAAATCATCAAAGGGTATCTGCTTTTCTTCAGTCAATAATGTAAAAAGGACTGTGTTGACAGAATTAAATTCCCAGGTTCTTCAGTTCTTTACTGATGAACTAAATGGCCAGAATTATCTCTTACAAACTTTCTTGAACTTGATGGAGCTTATGTTGGGAAATAAAGTTCATAGTTTTTATCTTTTAATTCCATTTTTTTCACAAACATTTTGAAGTTCCTCATATAAACATTATGGAGATAAAGGATATATAAGGATATGTATTCAAGGGCCAGCAGGTGGCATGGCAGGTGCTGGACTCCACATGGCTGACCACAATTCAAGTCCCACACCTGATGGCTTAATTTCTCTCTCTCTCTCTCTCTCTCTCTCTGGTGAGTGCAGGTGTCCCATAGCAAATTTAAAAGTAATAACAATAAAATTAAATTTAAAAAAATTTTAAAAAGGATATATATCCTATTGGTTCTATTCTATGGAGAACCCTAACTGATATAGCACCCAACTGAAAGCAGTGAGAAAGCAACTGTACACATAGATCTGGAGATGTAACTTAAATACCCACAGGGTCTAGGCAAGACAAATGAATAAAATGATTTGAACTGGTTGGGGGGGGGGACAACAAAAACCACCACAATCACCCAGACACCTGGAGAACACATCTTACTTAAAAAGGGCAGCCACAACCAATTCTCGTTACATGGACATATGGGCCAATTTTGCTAGGTCACCTGGTTTTTCAAGGAAAGTCACAAATCTGACTTCTTTTTAACATAAAATCTCCCAACTGAGAAATGTAGCGGAATTGTTTGTACTTTTTAAAAAATGCTTTGTGAACTTAACAAAATAAAGTGGCTCATGAACCATCAGGTTTTTTTACTTTTGCTCTATAGTCTATAACATGGTATTGAAATCTTAGACACTAAGAAGAAATTAAGTGGCTAATAAAGGCTTCTGGATCCAGCAGGTGGCATGGTGGGTAAGGCATTGTATTCCCACATGGTCAAGCATGGTTTGAGTCCTGGACCTGGTGGCTTGAACATCACGTGGGTGCGTATGTGTGTGCCCAAAATCCAGAGAGGAGAATGGAAGAGAAGGGACTGTGGTGTGGCCATCCCCCTGGGGGTGGTGATTTCTTGCTTTCTGTCTCTGTCTCTGTCTCTGTCTCTCTCTCTGGCAAGTACGTATGCCCTATAGCAAAAATCTAAAAAAAACAAAAAAACAAACAAACAAACAAAAAACCTTTCAAGTGGTAATAGAGCCGGATCTAGAATCTAATACTTCTTGCTCCAAAACTAACATTTTCTGCCTCTATGGTTAGACAGCCTCTTTAACCAACAAATGAAATATGTATGTAGGTTACTCAAGACATGCAAGTTAATAATCAGGAATAAATTTAGAAAAGATAGCATAAGCTTCACATTTAACTAATCCAGATGTTTCTGTCTCTTCTGAAATGTTTTTTAGTTAGAAGCTACAGAATGTAAATTACTGATGACTCATCAATTCAACTATCTATGACCCACAAATTCTGCTTTGAATGTATATGACACAATGATATCTTTAAGCAAAATTCTAACTAAGCTAAATAAATCTTTATGTATATCGAATTTTAAAAATTAACAACATGTAGATATTTTAAATTTCTGGAGAAAACTTTAAATACTACAGGGCTGATAGAAACCTAGTCTCCAGTTACTAAGACTTAATTCAGTAATGGTACAGACTGTATTATTCATCCATTGGTTCAACCCATATCATGAGCCTAGTTTTCTTTCAGTGGGGATAGGGTCTCAAGCTCAGGGGAGGCACACTTAGCATACTGCATGGTGCTGAGATCTGGATTCCCACATGACTGACCGCAGTCCGAGTCCCGGACTTGGGACTTGCTTCCTCACTTTCCCTCTATTTTGTCAGTCTCTCTCTAGCGAGCACGTATGCCCTAGAGCAAATTAAAAATAATAAAGTTAAATAAACAGTTCTTTGAAAAGAAAAAACACAAGTAATTATTTTCAACGAAATATATTGTTAAGAACTACAGCAGCCCAGGAAGAAGGGACAATTATAGCTATTATCGTTGTACAACAGACTCAGATCTGGTGAGCTTGGTGGGACATGGGAGTTTGTGTTGTGACTGCAAGTTGCCTGTTAAGACACTGAAAAAAAGGAACTCATTCTTTTGCATTCTTCCTAGTTAATGTACTGCACTTTGTGAAGCAACTTTTATCTGTAAAGTTCTAACAAATGTTAGCTCTCTCAAAAGTTAGCTTGAACTTAGACGTCTCTGTACCGAGAGGCAGGTCAGCCCAGTTAGAAAGAGCAGGGTCAGTTGGCACAGAGTCAGCTAAATCTAGCAGCGTTCGCACATAATTCAATACAAGGCCATACCCACTCACCCTGACTGCAGCAAAATCAGAACATGGCCTCAAGGTGTCAGTGGACACAACTCGAGGTTTGCTTGGGCGAAGGCAATCTGAAATTAGTGACAGGGCCCACATCTGTGTGAAATATTCATAGCCAGGACTGAGAGAAGCCAAAGCCCACAATAGCTGCGCGGTGCCGACACCATGCAAGCAGGTCTCACACCGCTCACCTTCACAGTCCGCCCCAGGCCGCCCCCCGACCTCTTGTCCCTGCGTGGGCACCGGGTTAGAGACCCAAAGCCCGATGCACAAGGCTACCACGGCAGCTGGGCTCACGCACCACATGCTGAGTCAGCAGCTCCGACCGCCGCCGTCAAACGTGTTACTTTAGCCTGGGGTGGCTACCAAACACAGGACAGCACAGAGCGAGGTTAGAGAAAACCTGCCCGGAGTTGCTAGGACAAATGACGCGACTCAATTGAGAGTTTCCATTGGCTCTCACGAAAGGAGCACGGAAGGGGGCGGAGCAAAGGAACCTCTGCCTTTCTCCTCCTGACTGGCGCGTGCGCACTATAGCAAGCGCGGTGCAGCGCCTGAGGACCGCGGAGAGACGCACTAACGCTATTCGTCCGCTGCTCCTGAGGAAGGGCTGGACCTTCACGCTGATTGGCGACGACGCGGAAGA